TAACTTTGACGCAGGTACACTGTACACTAACGACTCTTGAGTGCCCATCCCTGTCGTTTGCCACAGCCCACAAAATACAGTCGATCTGCTTCGCGGCGTGTTCTGCGAAGCGCTTCGAGACGTCCCAACAACCCGATGAGACGGGAGAGCCAATCCAGGGATTATTATTTTTTTTTGCATTCTATTTTTAAAGTCTCCGCTCGATCGAGTTGCATGCACCATCGAGAATTTGTACGTCGGTAGGGAATTTCCTGAGACATTATGAAACTTAAATCACTGTGCATTGAATTGAGCGACTTTTTTTTTTAAAAAAAAAGAAATGCTATCTGTCTTTCTATCTGTCTACCATGTCGGTCTGTATTTATCTACTCCGATTCGATTATTATAAGGGATAATCTCAGTTCAGTTCATGTAACTTGTGTGGATGAATGCTGACTGGCAGGTCTTGCTGCTGTGCCTGGTCAGTGCGGTGCATAATTCACTGTTCCTTGCAATTGATTTAGGACAGAGGTGGTGCTGACACCCACCACCCCCCCCCCCACCACCACCCACCACCACCACCCTGACCTGTGGGCTTGGAGCAGTGAGCAGCAGCCCCGTCTGACAGTCCAACAGCAAACATCCAGTGACAAAAAAGACCTGAAATCTTAACCCAAACCGTGGCTCTCGGGTCGGCTGTGAGGAGGAGCCGTGTGTGGCCTGCAGATCAGCACACGTGTCAGTTGCATTCCTGAAATCAACAAACTTTATCATTTCCTTAAACGGTGCGTTCATAAATAACAGCATTGCTGTCCTACAGACTGTAACTTTTAACTGCTGCTGTCCTAAACCACATTTCCCGCAGGCACCGTTGTTGGCAATCCCCATTCCGATATCTCGATGTGTTTAGCTGACAGATTCGTTTCATGTGAACGTCGTCCTTATTTTGTGACCTCGTCTTTACTGCAAGGACTTTCTGCTGTGCAACTCTTCCAGCTCCGATGAAGGATCACACCTTTTTAATAACCTTCCTCTTTCTTTTCTTTCAGATACCGACTTGCCTGCTGCCTTTTCCTGCATTTTCTTTCTTTACTTCGTGCCGATATTGTATCCTGGATCTGCATCCAGATCAGAAGTACTGTGTCTCGCTTTCTCTCCGTTTAATTTTTTGGGTTAGCATCAATGCATTGGACGCACTTAACTGCTGACATCTCAGTGCTTGACCCAGGAAGGGTCACCTATAGTTTGCTGTCACTGTCCAGCAGTCTTGGTGTAGATAATAACTCAACGCATAGCTCTGGCCACACAACGCTTTGCTTCTCCAGTGACTGCAGTTTTCCAGACATTTCAGGGGATGTTTGCACAATTGCACCTAATGAAAACAACTTGTGTTAATTGTCTCATCTACCGAGCATTAACCCGAATGTGTAAAATATGCTATTTATTTTTGTACTTACAGTACATCGAAGAGAGAGTGAGAGAGTATGTGTGTGTGTGTGTGTGTGTGTGTGTGTCTGTGTTAATGTCCATTTTGAATGATTAAAGGCGCCGAAGTACAAATATTACTGATTGGTCAATTTTACATGTAGTTTCTAGACATCTTGATTCAAGCATAACCTCTTGATCAAGCCTCAAGAAACATCGGCAAGTTAGGAACATGGTTGTTAGGATTCCGCTGTCCTGTTCCCCAAATCCTGAATCCTGTTGCAACCCAAAGCCATCACTTAATGACCCTTAGCCATGGCATGGATTAGATCTCACTCTAACCTCCCCCCCCCCCCCCCACCACTCCACCACCCTCCATCACTTGTGCCTGACACAGTGCAGCAACCTGTGAATTCACGGTGGGTTGCAATGTCAAGTCAATGCGATGGTTGCAAAGGGGTTAAACAAAACACCAAAGCATATTTGGCTGTGAGCATGGGCTTCGGGTTGTTCCGCTGATATTGACCAGAGGCCCGTGGCTAACGTATCTGAAAGAGGCCGTGTAAGGAAATAAAATGCAAGCAGTGTGGGGGGGGGGGGGGGGGGCAAGCAAAAGATTAAGTGAAGGGAAAGTTCCGTCGCAGGGATGGTACTGACGGGATGAATTCACAGCACAAACACCAGAGGGGTACATGCAAAGCCAAATGAAAAAAAAAAGCGTCGCACACAAGCGTTACAGATAATGATAAACTGCACACATATCTATAGACATATACACACGCACACACACACATGTGTGTGTATGTACAGGCGACATGCATAGATATATGCATATATGAACGGCACTGGTGTTGATCGGAATGATAAATGCGGACGATTTGCCAAGTTTGCAAACATCTGCCCGGCTGCAGATCCCCCCCCCCCCCCCCACCTCCCCCCTCCGCCCCCAGTTGACGGTGGCAATAAGCAAACGCTAGGGGGCGCCACGAGGTTAGCCCTCCGCCAGCAGCACACACGCCTCTGTGCTGAGAGCTAACCTTCAGCCCTGGCCCTCCTGCTGTTTATTGGCCATCCTCAGCTAAACAAGTTGCTTATATGCGCCTCGGCTATAAATTTTTACGAAGAGCCTCAGAATGTAAACCGAATCCTGGGACTGCTCTTTGCCAAAAGGTTGCAAAAAAAAATTAACTATCGCGCATTAGCAGGAAAAAAAAACTTTTTGTTTTGTTTTCTTTTTGCAAATTGGCCGGCGGAAAGTGTCAGGTCAGCAGCACAGAATCATTAGGATTTCATAGAGGATTTTTTTTTTTTTTTTGGGGGGGGGGGGTTATCAAGTGAAATCGCGAATTTGTGTCGCAAAAAAATAAATAATTGCCACCCTTGGAAATAAAAATCTAACGTTGAAAAATTAACAAACTGCAGGCCAAGCACTTGCATTGAGTTGGATCCACTTTGTATAACACATGTCGATGTCAGGATCCAAAAGAGAGAGTCGCACGTTAAAATGGCACAATTTAATCCCATAATAATCTGGGAGCAGCGGCGCTTGGATTATGTCTAACCTGGTGCAGCTTTCGAAAAAGGTTTCCAGTTAACATCAGGAGTGTTTCGTGCACTCAGAAAGGAAACGGATTATTTGCACGACGTTTCCCGTAACCTTGTGTAACATGTAATTTTAATGCCTCTGACTCTGAGGCACAAACTAACGCCTTGCGCTTTTTGTCTTTATAATAATAATAATAATCATTGCATTCGATATAGCGCTTTTCACGTCTTCTAGACGTCCCAAAGCGCTTCATAGAATATACTGTAAAGTGAATTGACTGTATATTTGTGGGCGAACGCGACAGCCAATTGCGCACAGCAATGTCCCACAAACAGTCGTAGATTGAAAGTGACCAATTTTATTATTGTTTTTGTTTTGTGGAGGGATTATTATTAGGCTCTGTGTGGAGTAAGGAAACTTGCCCAAGGTTTCGCCCTCTGCCTGGAATTGAACTCAGGTTTCTCACTTGCAAAGCGAGTGCTCTGACCACTGAGCTACAGGACTCCACACTTTCCCGTTTTATTCAACTCTTGTGTTTTTTTCCTGATGCCTCGTGGAGTGAAGAGACGAGAAGAGCAATGCACATCGTTACATCGTCAGTCGTTATATTATGGTATTTGATATTTGCTGATCCCCTGTTATAATAATAATAATAATAATCTTTGCATTATTATAACAGGTGATCAGAAAATATGAAATATCTGCTGGAATCGTATCAGTTATACTCTGAGGATGAGCTTTCAGTCATTTTTGAGCGTTCAGTCTTCATCCTTTGCCTGACAACAGGGGACGGGATTTCGAAGGTCTCAGACAAGGTTTAGGGGTCGCAACACATTCACTGATCCTAATTTGGAAATGAATGAACCCGTGTATTGACCCGCACACTGATCGCAGATGGATTCAATCCGGGTGTGGCTGATTGGGGGGGGGGGGGGGGGGGGACTTCAAAAGAAGGGGAAACTTTTGCTTCAAAATAATAAAGAAGAATGTAAGGTTCAGGTGCCCTGACAGAGTCACTAACGCCGGCGAGTCCGGGCTCCCCACCTCCTGTTGAAAGGACATGGATCTGGCAGGGGCTAAAAAAATTAGTCCGGATCAGAGCCGTTTCCGCCTGAGGTCGGGTCTCCTCTTCCTCGAACTTTTCACCTGCCCTCTGCTTCCATTTCCCCCAAACAATCTCGCCCCTTCTCCTGGCCAAAATATTATTATTATTATTATTATTATTATTGCCTGTCTGCTCGGCTTCCCACAGCCGACACTCGATTCCATCAAACTAACTGCACACACACACACACACACACACAAAAAAAAACCCCCACTCACTAGCAGGTGTAATGTTTTAAAACATCAATTGGGCTGTCTCTCTGTTTTGCTGCTTTGCTTTAAAATCCTGAAACCAATGCAAGTCCGCGTCTCGGACTGTAGATGTGACATTGTCTGAACTGTCACCTACAGGGCAGTTGTTTCTATTTCTGATCAGATCCAGGTGCCCATTGACGTCAAACATCCCGTTTGGAAAAATATAATTATACTGTTTCAGCCACGTTTGAAAACAGTTGCAAAACGCGAAAGTGATTTTTTTGTTCCTATTTTTTTTTCCCTTTACGCGATCGAGCGCTGGGGGTTGTGATAAAAAAAGGTCCGTGTTTTAAAAAAAAAATTGCAAAGGGCAATCCCGCGAGCAACTCGAGTTAAACCCCGATTAGGGTGGATTTGCGGTGATAATTATCACAGTCGACAAATATCCAACGACACACCGCAAATTTTCCCTCGTTGTTGCAGAAATTGAGCGATTGCAAGAGTCCCTCGTGTGGGTGTCCCGGTGTTCAGCAAACACATGCAACCAACGGTATTTTACATTTCGATTAATAAATCGAGGTCTTTCAAAAGGTATCCGGACAATCCGAACAGTACACTGCACCGACTGTAAGGATCTTATAAGGTTTATTTTTTTTATATATGTAAAAGTACATTGGTCTCACTGCATTACACGGGAACCGATCAATCCTTCATTCTGGCAAAGTTGCAAAGAAGAGTACAACACACAACCTTCCCGAAGTCTTTTTTTTTTAATTGAACTTAGTTTTTACATCACAAGGTTTTGACAAAAGGTCATATAGTATACATTTTTTTCAAGTGCAAGTATATTCAAATGTAATTATTTAGAAAAGCATAATGTGCGCGTATACATGTGCCTTATTATAATCCTTTTAAATGGGAAAATTGTATATTCTTCACGACTTGGCATCAGCATGTCAAGGTCAGCAAGTCTGATGCTTGATCTCAAATGTTACATAAATACAGTGCGCTAAACACTCCGTTCTTAATACTGATATGGCAATTGAATGCTAACTGGTAAACTTATTAGACCGTTGGCCTCCGCACCATAACTTCCTTCATAGTTTACAGAAAAAAAACTAACTGACTAGTTTCATATCAGTTGCTTTTTTTTTATATATATACACAAAAAAACCTTTCTTATTTCCATCGATCAAAGAAGTCGGAGATAATTCGCCATTTAACCCACAACACGCTTTCAGAATCAGAAACCTCGCCTGTTGCCTTTCTACAGTGTTTTTTGTTATATTAAACTTCCAGCTCTATGGTGCCGACTCCCGGGTTGGATTTAATAATATTATTAATAAATCAAAAAAAATAGAAGTAAAAAGTGGAGTAGACGGGAGCTGATTTGCAGAGGTGTCTGTCTGTTTCACATGACACAGGGTTTGATATCTTGACACATGCTCTGATGGTGGTGGTGGTAGTACGAGCCACTGGCAGAAGGATGGAAGGACGAGATCCCGTTAAAATTCAGCACAAAATCCTTTCTGTCACACATCGGCGAGGAGTGAGTCTGATAGCGAGGTATCCCCACTGAAAACAGAAAGAAAAGACGTAGCGCACAGTTGAAGGAAACGTGCAATTCGCGCAGGACTTGATGCTCTTTTATATTTCAACATTATTTCACAAATAAGAGATAAGTTACAGAGTGGGTCGACCCCCCCCCCCCCCCCCCCCCACTTTCCCGTTACGACCTCTTCCCTCACCAGAGCTAATTGATTTGTGTGCGTGTGTGTGTGTGTAATGCTATTTCTTCCACTGCTAAACTAAAGGTCTCCAGAACAATTACTTCTTTTTTTTTTGCTTTCAAATTGCTTTGCCTTTGTAAAGGGACTGATTGTCTTTTGCCAGATGTGGGATGTAATTTGTCTGCTCGTACATATAGCAGTAGGAGCTGGTCTAGATTTGCCCATAGAGACTACAGATTTGCCCACATAGCTCACAGTAGTCTATGCAAGTGATAATAGACCTTATTTTAAAAAAAAAGTCTCTCCCACTCATCGATATTACTGTGTGTCATGGCATTAAGTACTCGGTTCCCAATATATACCTTTACAAGTCGCACCATTACCAGCGCTAATCTATTAACTGTTCACCCAGTCGGTAGAGTCTGGCCAATGTAAATATCATACAGTGCGTTAAGCTCTCTAAGCAGTGTTAAACCATGTCACGGTAAATAGGAAACACGGTTTTCCTAAATAATTCTTCGATTACATATATTGTGTGTGTGTGTGTGTATGTTCCCACTAACCACAGGTTAAGTAAATTATAAAATTGGGAAGGGATTAGATTGAGAGGGGAACGCGTGTCCTGTGTGTGTGTGTGTGTGTGTGTGTGTGTGTGTGTGGAGGATGCTGAGGCCGATCTACCTATGAGTGATTTTGACTGTTTTATCGCTTGAGTGCATTGTTTGAATTGACACGGTTTTGTCCTAATCCCTCCAGTCACAATAAATCTTTAAAGTCCGTTCTGGGAGCCCGAAACTGTTGCTCCCGGCGGTGCATGTACTCTGTGCTTTGCTCCTAATGAGATTGGAGTTACACTGCTCTCCATGGCAGGAAACTCCGCAGAAAACAGCCTGAAGAGGAACCTTAAAACAAACCGAGAATTTAACTTATTGCTGAGAGTAACATCAAAGGCTCCCGCCATTGAAAAAAACATTGTCAAAGACCCCAAAGCATTACTTTACGTCCGTAATGAGCAACTACAGACAAACATTACCAATTCTGATTGAAATAATGAAACTTTGCCTGAGACACTATCGAATTGTACATCTGCAATTAAACTGCTTGTCGGTGGGTTTGAAAGTTCGCCTGTATATTTTCCCAGTCAGAAGGCATACAATCAATTGACACAAAAAAAAGGAAACCCAGTTAGTTTCTGTTTGAACCACATATCCAGTTTAAAGATGATACTTTGCTCCTGCAATAGCTCGCACTGGGGAGAGAGGAAAAAGTTCCTAAAGTAGTTATTTTAATTCCTTTAAAGAGCCACAAAGTACACGTTTCTGTCAGACTGCACTCTGTCAGATTGTGTTGTGTATTCCACCGTGTTTTACATAGGATTTTCAAGATCAATAATAGTTAGGAACATAAGAATTTGCAAGGCGAAAGAAGACCAAGGTTCATTCAATTCGCCTTCCTGGCAGTCGCTTGACATACCGTGTCCAAACATAGAGTAACACATCGACGTATTGTATCCCCAGATATTATTTCCTAACAGAAATGTGTTCTTGAAAGAGTTAAGCGTAATGGAGTACATACAACGGTTAATCAGTGAGTACTGTGTAAATTTCCCACTGAGCAATGAGGGGCATATGGTTTCCAAAAAAAATCAGGCATTGAATTGGGGCAAAAATAGCGTTCGCGGCCGGAGATGTGCAAATGTAAATGCGTGCGTGTAAATGCGTAAATGCAAACGTCCTTTTCGCAAATGCCGAAGAAGACGAAAACGTTGTGATTTGTGGCCTTTGCTGCTCCCTCCGGGGCACCCGCTCACACACACCACCTCCCAAATGCCCCCACTGTGTCGAAACAGTGCTTTCATTTCATTAGCGTCAAGGAAACTAATAACGCACACAAGGCATATATATATATATATATCTCTATATATTATATACACACACACACACATGGCTGTGTGGCGGGTCGGGGTTATGCGGGCTGACTGACACAGCTGCCTTTTGTTGGCAGTTTGCAGGCTTACGGTTCCCAGAAAGTTTAACAGCATCAGCTCTCATCTGGGTTAAGTCAAGCTAAAATCCTCTCCAGTGTGGTCCAGCCGCGACTGTCTTTGTTTAGTTAACCCCGTCGACCCACGTTTTAAATCACTGTTTGGAGAGTTCTGCCTCGAGAAAGCCATGGTTTTTATACGTGCATCTTGCAGGCGTTTGTTTTTTTATTTGACCGTTTCGGCCCCCCCCCCCCAAAAAAAAAAAAAAATTGCTAAAAGAGCTGCAAGAAATCGATACGCGATAACCCGTGAGATGGCATTATTTTTTTAAAAAAAGAATGCGATCGCAATTGTGTTAAATGAAATCGCCGGAACCTCTGCACAGCTGATGGGATTTTTAAAATATATATATATATATATATATATAGCTCGCCTTAGATTTGCAGCTTGGTTTAAACACAATTCCGAAAATTAAATGGTTCTGCTGTTTACGTTACATAAAGGATGTATCACAACCATTGCCTTTATTTCAGCTTCTTGTTCTTAAAATACACTCGCAGGTTCAACACTCTTTGTAAGAAGTTTGTATTAATATTATGCATATGCGATTATCATTGGAGAATCTACTTTATCTATTTGACTATATTGAGGGAAAGCGTTATTCTGCGCAAGTATTGCATAACTTCTGTCCATCATGTGTTCAGTTTCTCTTTCATTTTCATACGCTAAGGTCAGTGTTGCAAAACCACAGTATATTTTTATCACACATTTCTTGTATTTGTGTTTTTACTACGATCCGTTTTGAATTGTTCCAAAACTTAGAGTGCGATATTTAAGAGGCCAATGGATTGCCGAAAAGCAACTTTTTTTTGGAAAAAAATCTCTTTTTATTTCCGCGATATTGATTATGATAAACTCATATTTGTAGCCAGCAAAACATCATGTTTCAGCCTGAGTTTCAAAGTTTTGCAATTTACTAAATAATACTCTTTGCATTTGATATTGCACCTTAACACGTCGCCGAGAGGTCTGGAAGCGCTTCACATGATTTTACTGTAGAGTTTAGCGACTGCGTACTTTGCAGGTCAACCTATCACTTTATTTTTAAACCAATATTTTCAGATCTTTTAAAACCTTCTACGCCACATCTGGAATGAAACATGGCATAAACAAGCATTAAAGACCTTTCAAAGCAGCAAAAGACACACGAAAGGCTGCTGATCCCCCATCTTTTACGAGACAAGTTGAAAGCACAGC